AAGATTACTTATGTAAGGAGATATAAAAAGAATCCCCCAAAGAGATATTAAAACCACACTTGCTAAACCTCACAGTGCCTCACCTTGTACATCAGGGATGCTGAAGAATTAAAGTAGTACATGGTAGAGAAGAGGACCAAAGAAAAAATTAGGGCTGTGAAAAATAATGGTGCTTTTACAGATGGTTTTCATGCTTTTATTTGCCCATGCTATTTCTTCTTTAACCTAGGTTGGTTTTTTTTAACTAGCACATGATCTTAATATGCTTTTTACCACTGTCAGCAGAAAACCTGAGAACACTGTTAATTTCCAAAGCTTAAGTAAACTAAATACTTGACTGTAAAATCTGCATCAGAATCACAATTCTCAAAGTGAGGTGTTGGTCATCTGGAAGGGAAGAGAATCAAGAAAAATCTGTTAGAACACTTCCTTTTCTGCCTGCAAAACAGTGTGAGAAAGAGCAAAAAGTTCAGTACAAGTTTGACATGAACTTAGTATTTCATTTTTGGAGTTTGGAGGAGGATTGTATGTCCTATAAGTGCACCCAAAATGTAATGGCAGAAGATGTGAGACCTGCCTGCATTGACCTAGTTTTTGCAGTGACTTAATGCACAGGGTTTTTTTACAACATGAGCCATTGGATCAGCCTCTCATAGGATCTCTCAATTGCACACTGCACTTTCCAGATGGCGTGTTTTGAGGAGGTGGTGTCTTGCAACATGGTCGATGGATACTATGCGTGCCTGGTCTGGAGAGGGTAACTGCTCTCTTTCTAGCAGAAGAGAACATCGGGCCTGATGAAAATAATTGTATTAGATTGCTTGTAAAAGAATTACTTCTTCCACTTTCTGGAAATATACATTACATAATTATATTATGAATTCTCCTTCAACATTAAGAAGAGTTTAAGTGATATTAATGAGAAAGTAAATTAAAGAATTTGCAATGTTATTAAAATCTCAGTAAAATACAATTAGGCAAGGCTAAAAATAGTGTATTATGCTCTAGACATTTTTAGATGGAAGTAGTAAATATACTTCTTTATTCTAAAGCATTAGTTAAAGAATGTAAGTATAGCAGTCACATTGCTGATGGGAATAATGGATAAGAAACTTGCTGTCACCTACACTATACCTGTCATTATGAATGATGGAACATTTCTACCTGTGAAAGGAAGAATGGATATCTTTGCAAAATGTTACTGACATTTATGCTGCATTCTGCCGAGGTCTAAATCATAATTCAAATTACAGAACCAAGAAAGCATCCTTTTGAATTGATTTAAAATATTAGGCTGTCTAAAATATCTGCATATGTGATGTGACTGATAAATCTGTCAGAGGAGCTGGGACATAGAGGTGAAATTTTCTGTTGCAAGGGAAAGCTCTTCGTTCAGCTGACTTCATAGCAGATTTTAGCTAGTGTATAAAGGTAGGATCTCTTGGGCAATTATAGGGAATCCCTGCCTGTACAAATGTTTACAGCTCTTGATAAAGCCAAGAGAGACCTTAATTTCTAAAGTGGTGATATTTCTATGCAGGTAAAATTTCTGAAAACAAGTGTACCATCAAACACTGATTAAAATAAAGGTATGGTGCTCATCAGACACTGATTAAAATAAAGGTATGGTGCTCATTGTGGGAGTTGCTGTAGACAGCCAGATAGAAAGAAAATTGTCAGTTTGATCCAAGGTCTTCTTGTTTGTATCACCAAAATGAGATGATGTTACATATCAACATGATGATGACCGTGCCTTTCCATCTTGCACAGTGGTTGAGATGGAAATTGTAATTGATAGGACTGGGTGTTAGCATACTTTTAAAAACTTCTGTCACAATTGTGCTTCAAGATGCTGAGATGTAAGCTATGATCCTAGTATTTCCTTGCATCGTATATAAATTTGCTTCCACATGGAAAATCCGCATTACAATGTTTCAGTCTGGATTGAAGAGCAGGAAGGAATGGTAATACATCAGCTAGAATTACTTTGCAGAAGGAATATAAAAGCAGTTAAAGAAGGTCAAAGATGCAAACCGTTTTCCACAATGCCACTAAAGAGACATACATTACTGGGAATACAGATTAGAGAACAAATGCTAATAACAAGGCCCTACTGGACGCAGTAGCTATGCAGGTATCTATCTATTTATTAATTTATTTTGCTAAATAATTCTGACCAATAAGAATTGACACTATCTTATAGTTTGCTCTTCTTGTTTACAAGGACAAATTTTGGTAAAATGGGGAATCTAGTTAGTTAAGTTAGTTGGACTAAGGCACTTAGGAACCTGAATGTAAAGTCAAGTCATGGCTTCTTCAAGTAAGGGGCTGAAATTTGTTTCCTGAATAACAGGAGAAAAACTATAGGAAAATTTGGAGACTCTAGGACTACCAGAATGATAGTATATTAGAAATGACGGCCTGTACAGAATGGATTAGGTAGCTAAAACAAGCTGTGCATTGGAGGTCAAGAAGCAGATAGAGAAGAGAGACTTGACAAAATCAGAGTTAGACCTGCAAATGGCCCAAATTCTGGATAAATACATGATCTCAGTTCTCCGTAAAGGGCAGTGTTTAATCTGGAGTGTTGAAAATGCAAAAGAAAGAGCAGAAGGTAGAAATCAGATTTACAATATCTGAGGTGGAAATCGTATGCAAAAATAAGCCTAGCTGTGGGCATGTAACTGAAGTGCCTGAGTTAGAATCCTGGTCTCCGTAAGTTTCCTGTGCGGTTTGTACGTACACCACCTGTGAGTCAGTCCATCTAAAACTGAAGTCTTCAACTAAGCATGATTGGGTTCTGCAGTTGGACATTTCAGTTAAACATGTGAGAAACCAGGCTGAAACCATGCCGCTCCACGCATGCAGACCAGGTGGGGCCAGACGTCCCAGCCTAGGGTTCAGGAAGAACTGGCTGAGAAGCTGGAGATCTGGTAAGGGCCACTTACATGAATCCACCAAGCTGGCAGTGGTGGTGGCACATGATAGAATAACAACTGTCACTTTTGGTTAAGAAGGACAGACAGGAAGTCATTGACGCCACCATCAGTTTGTTAATCTGGATGGCAGCAGTGTTTAGAAACTGTTTTGAAGAAGTAATTAAAGATGCTATGCTTACAGAGTGAATTCACTCTGGTTTGTTGACATTGGGGTTGCATCAGACTAACATGATAACTGTGTTCGATGATTTATTTTCCAGTCAAAAGTAATGTAGTAGATCTCATTTGTCTTCAGGAAAGCACTGGCTGTGGCTCTGTTTCAGAAATTATATAAATGAAGGAGATAGGATTATTACAAGAACTGTAAACTAGTTAATGAGTTGGACAGAAAGGAAATGGCATTAAGCTGTAAGTATTAAGCTGCAGGGAGGCTACTCAACAAAGATTAGATTTGTGACTGAGCTCGTTTTAAGCTTTTTTTAATGCTCTCAACAAAGAAAAAAAATATTGTGTTGAAGAAATCTGCCAAAGGCACAAAGCTGAAAGACAGTGTTAGCGTGAAGGATGCTGGGAGTTGAAAGGTATTAAGTGACCTCAAATGGCAGTTATAAAATAGATTTTAGTAACTGAAGTGCAAAGTCTTGAATTCAGGGATTGCTAAGAATAACCTCTGTTGTAAGGATCTCGTCACTTAGAAATGGCTAAGATGGGGGAAAGCTTGGCTGACCACTGCTAAGAGGGTGACTATGAGATGTGACTGTGAAGAAAAGAGTGTATGATCTTAGGATGTGTTAATTGAGATATTCATAATATAGGTAGGAAAGTACCAATGCCTCTGTAAAATGTCCTTGTGAAACATCATCCAAAATGCTGTGTACATTCTGGTCAGACAGGAAGGATTAACTTGAACTGGGGTGTTTGAAGAAGGAGAACATATGTTAAGGAAGAGGCTTAAACCTGGATTTTCTTTAGTCCTGGAGAACAAAAGGTGACTGGATCTAAGGTAGCCCTCCATAAATTAATGGAAGCAGCTAGAAAAAGAATTTAGAATTTAAAATTAATAAATGTACAAGAGCAAACTAGTCCATAGACTTAAAAATATTTCTGACCACCTGAGCAGTGAAGTTCTAGTGAAGGAGAAGAATTAACAAATTATTAATTGACCCTTGACCCATTTAAGAAAAAAATTTAAAAAATCGAGAGGATGCCTTCAAGCCCCATGCTCCTTTGAAAATTCACTAAGAGTGCTACTAGCAACTTCTTTCTGAAGTTCCATGAGCTACAGGACTTGATTATTTCACCTAATATATATAATTACATATATAAAATGAATTATCATGGAACTTCCTACTAACTTTTTGGTAAAAACTATAGGTAATTTCTCATAAATACCCAGATGTTAATGTATGATGATTGTTCCTTTTACTTGTTGCTAGTGCTTTACATCTTTCAAATTCCACACAGTCTGCTGATTTTGGAGATCAATCATTAATTATGGAACCTCGGTTTGGTTGGGCAACTCCCTACAGGAGGAAGGAGTTGAAGACTCCAAGATTGCTTTCATGATCATACTTTGGTTTCATAAATACAGGTCATCTACAGTTTTCAAAATACATTTTTTAAAGGTAGAAAGAGCTATTGTGTCCATTTAAAAGGGAAGCAAGTGGAATCACTGTTGGACCAATGTCATTATACAAGAGCAACAGAATCTAGAGCTCTGTACAAGAAGTGCTTACCTTTGAGAATCATATCATGGTATAACTTACACAGAAAAGAGACGTACTGTTCTGGCTAGGAATTAGGAATAACTTGATTTCATTTGTTTTGATAGCTAAGTATTAATTATAATTAGAATACTGTTTGTTTTGATTTGTAGATGCGGTCTGTCGGACGAATATTTAAATTCATTGACATGCCAACAGAAGAGACAAAAAACATTAAGCCACAGAAGAATAAGCAGCTTTCAGATGCCCTTGTAATTGAAAACAGGCATGCAAAGGAAGAGAAGAACTGGCCATCCGGGGGCCAAATGACTGTGAAGGACCTTACGGCCAAATATGGTGAAGGAGGAGCTGCTGTGTTAGAAAACATTTCCTTTTCCATAAGTCCAGGGCAGAGGGTGAGATGCTGTTTTGTTGTGTTTGATCTGACTTCTATTATGCTTAACTATAGAAGTGTCATTATAAACCTATTCATTGGCTAAAGAAAGGTTTTGTAAATGAAATGGTTGTAAAACAAAGTAATCATCTAAAGCACCTGAAGAACAGAAATGTCTTATGTCTCCTCTTTAAAAAGAGCTCATCTGTAGGATTATTGGCTACAAACAAAAAAAACGTAAGGAAGATCTGCCTCAATTATCCTAGAAATCTTGAGGCTTTTCACACCTCAGTGAAGCAGAGTGGGGATGTTTGTTGGCCATAAGGAGCAGAATACGTTGATAAAATATGTATGCAGCAGTTCCCCAAGTTGTATTCTTGTGCCTGAAGTCATCCGACGCCTTCTCCTGGGGAGAGGGAAGCTTGCTGGTGAGCGCAGGTGCTGGGGGCAGCCTGACCCAGGTGGAGCAGGGCACGAAAGAATACCTGCCGCTGTGCCAAGGGTAACGCACCACTGGCTCTGGCGGCCAGAGGGTGGAGGTGCCGTCTCGCCCATTCGATGAGGGCTCTATGCCACCCCAAATTATTATATAACAAACCATAAACCGCTCTATTCTTTAGAAGATTGACAAACCTCTAATTAATCTTCATGCATGTTTGGGGTTGCGTTCGAGAAAGAGCTTTAGTTTCAGGACAGCAATTAGGAAGAGATTTAACACTTTGCTTTACGTTTATGCTGAAGACTGTCCTTGGTGGGTTGGGAAGAAAGGCTTGTGTGATTTCCTGAGCTGGAGCCATATGGATGAAGAGAAGATTTTAACTCTCCCAAGTGGTTGAGAAAAGAGGTTCAGTGGCAGCTCCCTGGCCTTGCCATGTGGCAGCTCTTTGCTCCTAGTTTGGATAGCACAAGTCTCTGCCAGGTTTGGTAGATATCTTGGTTTACATGAGCTGAATGTTTCATCTACTAAGTCTGAAGGCACCAAAATTTTGCAATCAGGGGTTTGACTTCCTGTAGCACCATCCTAAAACTGCTCTGCCTTTGGAAGAGAGGCACCTGTGATTCCTGGAGCATGGAGGTGCAGGTGCCACTGCAGTCTGGTGGATTTACTTCCTGGAAAATGCCTTGAAGCAATGGAGTATGGAAAATGAAAAACACTTTTGTACCGTACAGTGAGGAGGCAGAGCAATTAAAACAAAGATCCTTTTTTCAATGGCTGTGATTTAGGAATTTGGTCCAAGTTCAGTGATGAACCCTGGACTCAGAGGTAGCATTTCCAGAACTGGAGCATGCTCTTTAAAGTGGAGATGATTGGTCTCTGCCCCATAGGGAAGCATGTGTAAAACAAGGAGGAAAAGGGAGAGCTCTCCTCTGCTGAGGGGGTAGAATAGAATAGAATAGAATAGAATAG